TCCTCCCGCTCTGCTATCCATGAATGCCAAACCCTTTGGCATGCAAGATGTACATTCTTTGGGATTGAAGTTGAAGGCTTCATGAGAGGACAGCTTGACCAGCTTCATTAGTATCAAAATGCATTTCCTTTCCTTCAGCTGACATGACTTCCCACTGCAGCACTGACAACGATATCCTGGTAGGAGGGTGCACCAGCTAATATGTATTTACCATGCTGAAACACCTATTGCTAAGGCTTTCTCTGAATATTACACAAAGGCTGATTACAGGGAAGTTGGGAACCTCGAGTCTGAAGTTGCTTTTAAGCTTATTCTTTTTATCTTTTTAAGTGATGTTCAGGCTTTCCCTGCAATTATTGGCATATTCAGTACGTTGGTCAAATCAGACTTGTAGCTCAGCATATTTCTAATATCCACACATGGGAAAAATACTGATTGCAAGCTGTTAAGAGCTGTCCTCACTGGGAGACTAGTTGTTGTTTTGTTTCAAATGGTAGGGGCAAAACCTTGTCTTTTCGTGATGACAGCTTTCAGGTACATAAAACAAGTCTTGTCCTACAGCAAGTCCTGATGGAGCTAGGAAATAAATGCTGGCAGGCATATAGGGAAGGTGCGTGGAAAAACTTACTTCACCTACTAGCTGGAGAGAATATGAGCATGGGGTTTGGTAGCTCTTCAGAAACTTGTATATCCAGATAATCTGGATATACAAATATATAGAGAAAAAGGTAGCTGTACACAATATCTACAAATGTGAATATTTATCTATAGGTAAGTGTTTAGTCCTCTTTCAACTCATAATTCTTTCAGTGTTGACAAAGCCTCTTGTTTTAGGGAATTACCAGTCTCAACTCAGCTGTTTAATTTTGAACTTGTCTTGTTCTTATGTTGTTTAAAAAAAAAAAATCTGATTGACACTCCCAACCTGTCCTTTCTGTACCACTGCTTATTTATATGTGCCTGTCTGGTTCCTCTTTTTTTTTGTCTCCTGTGAAGTCAACAGCTCCAAAATTTTCACTCTTTCTGTGGAGGGAAGGTTTTCTCCCTCTTTCTTGATTGCAAGCTGCTAGCTAGTCAGACCCCAGGCTAGAGACAGGAGAAGAAATGGGGACTCTCACCTTGTAGGCAGTGACTAAAACAGTTTGTTGTTTCTAGTGGTGACAGAAATGGGCAATCAGGTTATCAGTTTAGCCACCCTGCACACTTTGGTCAGCAAAGGAAAAATCTGTTAAAAGGTGCTAAACTTAATGTGTTCATATGAGAATTTTCTTACCAATT